GTTTTTTCTCTGGCCAGAAGTTCGATGGCAAATCCTCCCTCTTCAAGTTGGCGATCCAACGACCAACCCGTCCGTGGAGAATCAGGAATCAGAAAGGTGGAATAGCTAATTTTATTTTTTTACTTTTACCCGATGTATTCCAGCATCCAGCTGCCATGCACGTGGGCATTGTCAGTTTCACTATAGCTCTGGTGAATTTCAATGGTGAAGTCCTCTGGAAATCTTCAATAATTGTTGTTGATTGCAGATGTGTCTAGTAGTTCCCATTGATTTTGCTTGTAAAGCGGGGAGAATGGCGCTAGGCTTACCACACCGTGACGTCACTGCTGGAAGATGGCAGGAGGGAGGGGTTACTGTATTTGGGAAAAAAATGGCCGCTCCCAGACTCAATGATTATTTTTATTTTACTGATTAACACTAAAATCATTAAATCACGTTTTAGTTTTAGGTATAAATAATGACAGGACCTTTCCTTTGATATTTAATGTTAATCACTAGTTGCCTGATGATTGTTTTTAAACCCTCTGTTCCTCCTGCAGGTTCTCATCATTGGTTCTTCTACTTTTTTTGGGAGCTTCTGTGATTTTTGTGTTTTAAACTGATGCATAAGGCCTCCTGTGGTTCCGTTTTAACTTTTGTCTGATTCACTGCTGTGTCTCTTCTGACCCTTCATCCTTCTGCTTTGAAGACAATAGAGAAAAACTCCATGAACGAGCTAGGAACCAGCCCTGAAACACCGGAAACCAGCACACGAGCCTACACACACACCATACCCCAACACAACATTATGCAGACTCATTATTCCCTTTCATGCAGCCTGTATGACTCACCCAGCTCCCCCTCTGACGCACAACGCATGGGAGTGATGGGAGGATGGTCTCCTGCGTCGCTGCCCTTCCTGGGACGGTTTATACCGGATGACAGAAGCGCTTTCACCTGATAAAAAAAACAATATTTTAAACTCTAAACGAGGTTTTATATTTATATTCATGGTCAGATACTTCTGATTACGTTTTGCACTCATCCTTGAATAAATGAGGCTGACTAATTATGGATTCGCAGCACACAGCCTTACCTCCTCCGACCACGCTGGATTGTTGACCTGCTGCTTCAGGGTCCCCTTCAGGTCAAAGTTCTCGGGGTAGTGGGTGGTCTCAGTCCGAGGGTAGCTGATGTAGCCCTGGGTGTAAAGGCGCTCTGCGATCTGCATGGTGTGCTGGGGACCCATACCTGCAACGACCAGGCAACACGTCTGATCTTCCTCCAGACCAAGGCTGGTCAAACATGGAGCTCCGTTCTACAGATTATTGTTTATTTCAGACTCAGAGTAATTCTAAAACATCCTATAAGTTAAAGGAATATCTCAAGGATGGATGGATACTACACAGCTACTACTACCTACTCTAGAGCTACTATAACTTTAACGACAGATGAAACTGATGAAGGGCTGGAGCGGATGGTGTTGAGCTGATCTGATGGGATTACCTAAAGCAGAGCTGGCCACTCTCAGCATCTCCACAGTATTCAGGGCCTGAGGCCTCTGTTTGGCCTTCTCCTTTTTGCTCACAGACTCCACCTGCACCCAGAAAACACATCATCATCATCATCATCATGATATCAGTTACAATCCAACACCGGATATTATTATGGTCACAACAGACTCAGGTCACAAAACTCAGTGGTTAATCAGCCCCTACTTACTATACTTTACTACTTACTAGGGGTATACTACTTACTATACAGCCTTTACTACCTACTAAAACCTATTATAGTTACTACAACTTTATAGCTACAGAGATACAGCCTTTCTGCCTACTACTACCGTACTACAGAGTTACTACTACTTATTATACAGCCCTTCCTACATACTATAGAGTTACTATTACTACTGTATAGCCACTACTAGGGCTGGGTATTGTTCAAAAATCTTCGGTGCCGGTACCAAAACCAATACCTTCACTTCGATAATGGTTCCTGAACGATACTTTTTTCGACACCAGTTTTATAATATCAATTCGAAG